GAGGCTTTTGAGTGGGTTATTGGTGAGATTGAATCTCGTTTTTTGCAGTCTCTTGTTGCAGCTGGGGAAATGATAGGATGTGTTGCCGCACAATCCATTGGTGAGCCCGCCACACAGATGACTCTCAATACCTTCCACTATGCTGGTGTGAGTGCCAAGAACGTCACTCTAGGTGTACCCAGGTTGAGGGAGATCATCAACGTTGCTAAGAAAATCAAAACACCCTCTCTCTCTGTTTACCTCAATCCTGATGTTAGCAAGACGAAGGAAAGGGCCAAAAATGTCCAGTGCGCACTGGAATACACTACCCTACGTAGTGTTACCCAAGCCACGGAGGTCTGGTATGACCCGGACCCTATGAGCACCCTAATCGAAGAAGATGTTGAGTTTGTGAAGTCGTACTACGAGATGCCTGATGAAGAGATTGACCCCGACAAGATATCCCCTTGGCTGCTCCGCATAGAGCTGAACCGTGAGATGATGGTCGACAAGAAGCTCAGCATGGCAGACATTGCCGAGAAGATCAACCTCGAGTTTGACGACGACCTCACGTGCATATTCAACGATGACAATGCCGAGAAGCTGATCCTACGCATTCGCATCATGAACGACGAGGCCCCCAAGGGCGAGCTGAATGATGAGTCGGCCGAGGATGACGTGTTCCTGAAAAAGATTGAGAGCAACATGCTCACCGAGATGGCCCTCCGGGGCATTCCGGACATCAACAAGGTCTTCATAAAGAACGGGAAGATCAACAAATTTGACGAGAACGATGGTTTCAAAGCCGAGAATGAGTGGATGCTTGATACAGAGGGTGTCAATCTCTTGGCTGTCATTTGCCACGAGGATGTGGATGCCAGGCGGACGACGAGCAACCACCTGATTGAGGTCATCGAGGTCCTCGGTATTGAGGCTGTCCGTAAGGCCTTGCTTGATGAGCTGCGTGTCGTCATATCCTTTGATGGGTCCTACGTGAACTACCGCCACCTGGCCATACTGTGCGACACTATGACGTACCGCGGCCACCTGATGGCCATCACCCGTCACGGCATCAACCGCAATGACACTGGTCCCATGATGAGGTGCTCGTTCGAGGAAACGGTAGACATTCTGCTGGATGCTGCTGTCTTTGCCGAGACGGACTGCCTCAGGGGGGTGACGGAGAATATCATGCTGGGACAGCTAGCGCCCATTGGCACGGGGGATTGCGCACTGTACCTGAACGAGGAGATGCTGAAGCAGGCAATCGAGATCCCTTTGCCGAGTTACATGGAGGGTGGGCTGGAGTTTGGCATGACCCCAGCCCGTTCGCCCATCACGGGCACCCCCTATCACGACGGCATGATGTCACCGAGCTATCTGCTGAGCCCAAATCTCCGGCTATCGCCCGTTTCAGATGCCCAGTTTTCTCCATATGTTGGTGGAATGGCGTTTTCTCCTACATCATCTCCCGGCTACAGCCCCTCGTCACCCGGCTACAGCCCTTCGTCCCCAGGTTACAGCCCAACTTCACCTGGCTACAGTCCAACATCACCTGGCTACAGCCCGACTTCCCCAACCTATAGTCCAAGCTCTCCTGGGTATAGCCCGACAAGCCCGGCTTATTCTCCTACCAGCCCTTCTTATTCACCTACTTCCCCCACCTACAGCCCGACATCACCAAGCTATAGCCCAACGTCCCCGAGCTACAGCCCAACATCCCCGAGCTACAGCCCTACTTCTCCCGCTTACAGCCCGACATCACCAGCATACAGCCCCACTTCCCCTGCTTACAGCCCTACTTCACCCTCTTACAGCCCGACTTCTCCCTCATACAGCCCAACTTCACCATCATACAGCCCTACTTCACCTTCATACAGCCCAACCTCTCCATCGTACAGCCCAACTTCACCATCATATAGCCCCACCTCACCTGCCTATAGCCCGACGTCACCTGGGTACAGTCCTACCTCACCGAGTTACAGCCCAACCTCACCTAGTTACAGCCCCACCTCGCCTACTTATAGCCCTGCATCCGCAAGTTACAACCCGTCAGTAAGATACAGCCCGTCTCTGGCTTATTCACCTACATCTCCAAAGATCTCGCCTTCAAGTCCTTATAGTCCTTCATCTCCAAGTTACAGGTAATTTTAGCAATATCATTTTTGTTTTTGTCAATTTTTTGCTCATCACGACGGCAAACTAATAAACTCTTGAGTCTTGATCATGGGTGTCTTGCAGTAACTTGTCGAATTACTTTTTTTTTTTTTGAGAGAGTTGAATTAGTGTAAGTATCATTGTCACTTATCTAACATTATTTATACTTACACTGGTTTGCAGCCCGACATCACCTTCATATTCTCCAACATCTCCTTCATATTCTCCGTCTAGTCCAAGTTATAGCCCTAGCAGGTATATCGAACATACTGTTTAACATTGGGTTTGTATCCTCGAAAAATGCACACCCCACTATGGATGGAAAAAAGAAAAAGAATGATTATATATAATCCCGTCAACCTATAATATAAATATGGAAGACTTTGAAGTAAAAAGGAACAAATATCCTGTTGACATATGCTTATACTTTTAAATCGCGCCTATTTAGTGGGTACTCATTCAGTCATTTTTACGAACCGACACTGCCTCAAAAGGTTACCTTTTCCAAATTTTGTATTTTTTTTCCTTTATCTTTTTATTGGTATAATCAATCCTTTGCTGTTTATGTTTTTTAATCTGTAGTTTGTAGTCAGACCAAGTTTCATGGGTAGTTTTTATAATGGATGGCTGTAGGCGTTTGGTTGGATTTACCTTGGTCATCTTTCTAACATTAGTAGACCATCTGCACAGTAGTCTCTTTCTAACTAATAAAATATGATTTTTCAGCCCTTATAGCGCTAGTGGGAACCCAGACTACAGCCCTAGCTCTCCACAGTACAGGTGAGTGCAGAATATTCCCGGCCACCTTAAAAACAATTTCAGTTCACAGTACAGTAGTCTAATTTCTCTCAACCTGATCATGTTTTATCTTTTTTGTTTTCTGTTCTTTTTATGTGGCTTGTTTGCAGTCCTAGTGCTGGATACTCTCCTAGTGCTCCTGGCTACTCTCCATCTTCAACCAGCCAATTCTCGCCCCAAACGAACGATGATAAGAGTGTCAAGAACGACAAGCGCAGCCGATAAATGTTGCGTAGAATCTTTCAAGTGGTTGTCAGGGAAACTGAAGTAGTTCTTGAGCTTTTTTAGAGGCTTGATTGTTGGAGATATAAAATAGAAGAACACGAAACTTGTGTATTTCGTGTAGTAGTGGACTGGAGACTTGGGGATTTGTCCATTGTGATGCCATGCCCTATCTATCTTTCCTTCAGTTGGACATTTGCCTTGTATGAAATCTTTGTTTAGGATTTTATTTAAGGTTGTGAGAAGAAACTAGAGTGTAAGTGTGGTTTTCACGTGTAGTGTACCACTCGCGGATGATAGGTCTCGAGGATCGGAATAGTGGTCGAGTGGCGTAACGTTCTCTTAGCTTCCGGTGTGGGCTCGATTCCCCTTCGGCCATACAAGCGTGCCGAAACTGGATATTTGTACCTTGCGTGAGTATTTTATGTGGCACTTGTCTTGACCAATTAATATGAAATTTGAAGTTGCTAGAGTATTGATTGCATTTCGTGGTCTTGGCGCGATTTGAAACAAGTTTTCGCTTTTGTCTTGGATTATTATTTTTTTTTTTCACATTGGATAATAATTTTATTTTCAAAAAATCAGTATTTTCCTTCCCAATTTTATTTATACAATTAAACAATAAAAATCAATCATTTAATACATGTTT